TCAATACAGCAGCTTTTGCAAAGTAAGCAGGAGCATTCAGCTGGACAGCTTCCCTCTGAACCAACCCACACTTCACAGCACATTTTCAGGTTTTAAAATCTCTCATTAAGTCCCCACCAACTTTAATACCCCATAGATTTCAAGACCTTTCTGCAAGATTCACTTAATTTCCAGTCCTAGAATTATAAAGTATGCTCACTGCTCCTGCTAGAGACAAAGAATAATTAGAACTGGTCAGGCTTTCAGTTTGTCGCAGTGACATTCAGCCATATCTGTAAATTTCATGGTGAAGCATACTGAAATACTATGTAACCAAGTCTCTCCCGTTATCTACTAAGAGGAAACCCAAAATATACCAAAATCTGTGGCCATCTAATACTAAATGAAATAAACAGCCCCCAAAACAAGAAGGGACATTTGGGAGGTTAGAATGGGGGATTTTAAAATTATAAGTTTCACATGAATCAAGGTCATAATTTTGATGCATCTTTACCCAAATCAAAGACTTCATTTGACACAATACCAATAGATTAAGAGGAAGATTACCAAAATGATGTCTTAATTAGGTGATTCACAAAACTGTCAGAAAACTCCAGCAACACCTAAATAAGTAGAAAGTCAGGGTTTAGGAGGTATTATCACAAACAGATCGATATACGGTAACATTTATATTTTGAAGCTGCTATAAATTTTCATTTTGAGTGAAAAAAATATTGGAAGTCATTTGACAATGGAATTCCTTTAATAAACAAATGTAGAAGTATCTCACACATTATATTATTCACACCTCCAGCACTCCAATTTTTTCTCCACAATCCAGATGTCTAAATGAAAATGTTTACAGTTCCTCACCTATAATTCTGCTTCCGCTCTTACAGGCTCACAGCCTGGTTATATGCAGTATTTATCACACCCCTCTACCCTCAACAAAGTAAAGCTCAGCTACCAAGCTCTCTCAAGAGTATTTCACCACCTCTAGATGCTGCAGTGCCATAACATTCACATCACAGAAGTCAGAACTGCCAAGGGGATGAAAAACTGGGGAAGGCTTGATCCATGCTGTAGGAAACCCTCGAAGCATATGAAACACACCACAGCCCTGGAAGCCTCAGGAGCTGCACCACTGTCCACCAAAACAACAGAGATTAAAAAGCCTGATATTTTACCAAACTTGGCAAGTCTAAGGGCCAACAGCAAATATCCAGCACAGCACTTCAACAGTCTTCCAAAAAAAGGCAGAAATGAGAAACATACTTTGTCCTTGGAATCATTGGGGGTTTGCAGCATGAAGTAAAGAAAGCTCCTTCAGTCTGGCAGTTTAGTTTTCTAGTAACTTGAAAAACAATCATAAATCCCTGAGACCTGTAGATAATACACTATACCATGGAACACGATAGATGTCAACAACAGATGGACTAAATGTCAAGAAGACTCAGTAAGGTGATTCGTTTTCTAAATAATACCTTTATCTATGTCTATCATCCCTAGCTCTCTGTCTGTGGTAGGTGTAGAGCAGTTGACCACCTGTTGAAGTTAACATGCTTGTCTTATGCCTAACACAAATCCAGTTTTCTAAAATATTACTGTAAGTTTCAGCCTGGAGTACCTGCACAGGAACTGTCTGGCTTTCCCGAAAGCAAAATTACTTTCATTTAGATCCTACTTCCAGCTACTTCAGGGAAGCATAGAGCATGCATCAATCTTTCCAAACACCTGCTTATCTCACCTGTGTTATAATCACACCCAAAAATTCCTGGGCGCTAGGGAAACAAAGAATTTGCCTAAGTGTCACCGCATATGCCACACTATACATCACAGTTGAGATGGCCATGATATACAGATCATCATCAGACAATTTCAGAAAGCTTCAACCCATACAGGGTAACACCATACCTCATCAGAAGGCTTCTGGCACATGCCCATACGGAGCAGCATCATTCCACTCCAAAAGGCTGTGTCTGCCCTTCTTGTTCTTCAGTCCAACCCTTTATCCCCTCGTGTTCATGCATTGCACCTGTGTGCCCTCTGCTCCCTTGGGGACGTGTCTGGTCAGTGATTGCTCACCTGGGCACTCCCTGGCTGTCACTGCTGCTCACCTGGGCACTCCATGGCTCATTGCTGTCAGTGCTGCTCACCTGCTGCTCACAGCTGCACCCACTGGGGATGAGGCTCGGCCACAGCTCCACCCCAATGACCATAAACTGTGTGACTACACCTAAATTCATATGAAAAATTAGAATTTTGATTCCAAATTTGTAGAATCTCAAGGACACTCTCACAAACACAGCTCCTCATTCACAGGCAATATTGGTCTACAAGATCTATCTAATAAGCATTGGCAACAGATTATCTCCTCTGTCTTTCTCCCCAGTTCCATGATAAAGACATAGCATTAGCCAGAATTACTCTAAAATATGGTGTGGTTGTATAAACAGTTACCTCAATGCCTCAGTGGAATTAAGGAAATTCAGGCATTTTCTATAGATGAAGATTAACTGTTTTATTATGTCTTCTATTGAATTTGCTTTATAAATGTTCTTGTTTTCTAGATTTAATTCCATCACTCCACAGTTCATCTTACTTGTACCAATTTCTGCCTCAGTTTTAGTAATTAATCGGACTAATTTATGTAACTTAATTCCTGAGAAGTTAACTTCTGCAATTTAATTGCTGACAGCTTTAGAAAAAAGCACTTTCTAAACCCACTTTAAAAACAGTGATTTATAGCACAAATGCAATATAAACAAAAGACAAAATAAAAGCAACTGCAGAGCTAAGAGCTTTTGGTGAATGCTAAAAGGCCTTTAAAATGCTGTTCATAATCTATATGATACAGTCAATTTTATCATTCTTTCTGTGAATGCAACTGCCTCCCCTGAATGTGCTGACAGAGAGGTACAAGTCTGCAGATTGTTGGTGCTTGCAGAACTGTTTATCATTTTTATAGTTAGTAGGGTATGAAAAAATGCAGAAAACAAGTGTGATTTACAAACTGAGATCATAAGAATGAATTTGGCTGAGTCTGTTTGACGATTTTGAACTATGGCCCAGATAAGCCACAAGGAAAAAGGATGAGGAACTTGTCTGGGACACAAACACTGAAGTACAAAATATGTTAAACAGTGATAGCACAATCAAGACTCACATGATACATAAATAAAGCTATTTTACAAAGTGAAAGTGAGGAGTTCAACATCAGAAGAAACTGGATGTACTATTTAAAAACAATATAAAAATATCTCTCCTAGAACTTTTATTATTTGATGATAAATCAATATAACCTTATCCAATCATAATCTGTCATTTTTAAAGGATGACTTTCCAAGATTACCAGATCTGTAGAACTGTAGATTTTGCTTTCATCTGTCTTGTTATTCCAACAGATAGTACATCATTCTGATTGTCCTAAGAAAGTTACACAGCATTAGACACAGCAGCAGCAAAACACTTTGTCACTGCCTTAGTAAGAGTTTAGTTAAAAAAAATAAAAACAAAAAAAAATGACATTTTGCACAAAGCCTCATGTAGACAAAAAAATATACCCTGGTTATGACCCAAATATCTTGGTTAAGCATCTTGTCTGAAAAGAGAGGAGAAATCTGGTTTGCTTTAACTAAGAAGCTGTTCCATGTAATATGAAAGAAAATTACACAAAAGAAACAAAAATGAGACAATTTCACAGAATCAGTCACAGAGCTGTAGGTACAAGCACAACAGAGAAATGAGGGTCTGAGCAATAAAGAAGAAAAAGAAGTAAAAATTGAGATGATGTCCAAAGATCCTGCAGCTCTTCAGCATTTAGGCAGATATTCATATACTTCATGAGGAAGGATCACCTTGACCACCTGCACGGAAAGAAGCCCAGGAATCTGCACAACAATGCATATTTTTCACTCTTGGAATTGCAGGGCTCAGCATTTGTTTAAATAAGGATTAGAGAGTAGAAAAAGGTGCCATAATTAAAACAGACTTTACTTCAACCTGAATTAACAAATGAGCATTATCAGAACAAGACCACATTTAGAAAATTAATTAGGAAAGAGGAGCCATACGTAGAAATTGTCAAGAAGAGAAACTCAGGCTTTAAACATGTTCTAAGAATATTCTCACTTGAGAGAAAAGGAAGAAAAAAACCCAGAGATGATGTGGAAAAAGCATCCCTGGAGTACCCCATGAATGAACAGCACTCACCCTCTCAGTTCTCCCCATTCTTGCCTAGTCAGGGATTTTTCTTTCAAGTATACCAAAGAACATTTATCATTTTCTAGAGATTAACTTCTTGTCAACATTACAGGGACTCTTTACATTAAAGGACAGACTGCAGTTTCTGGAGCTTCTGATCTATCTAAGGTTTGAATTTCAAAAGCATTGGCCCACAATGAGGGAAGTATGATATCCCCAATACTGTAACACAGCATGTCAAAACAAACATACCAGAACTATGGAAAAGCCTCTAAGAAAGTTAGGCAGGAGATGGATTTGGCCCATTTAATAAGTCTCTACAAATAAGAAATATGCTTTTCCAGCAAGTTTTCCAAAAATTTTAAAGAGTTCTAGTTACATGCAAAAATTATGAAGCATATCACGCTAAATCTGCATATAATGGGACACATAACACAGGAGAAAATTGTCATTCTCCAAAGCCAAAGGCTACGTCGGGCAATCTCCCCAGACTCCCTGACAATTCAGAGTGACAGAAGCACCCTCAGGCTGCTTTAGGAATTCTGTATCATCTCTGGAGCCATGTAATGACTGAAGGCAGACAGGTACTGTAAGACTGATTGATATGAGGGTCTTGCTTATCCACACCCCCTCTGTTAACACATGTAGACGTCTGTTCTCAGAAGTGATAATTTTCCTTTTACTACAGATTTGATTTGAACATGAAGAAACATATCTCCTAAGGACAAAACTTAATGGAACAGAAGCATAATTCTATTGTCCCTGCTGAATGTAAAATTTGGGTTGCAGTAGGATACAGAAAAATAGTCTGAATTATGTTTTATGTTTATAAAGCAAGGCTCAGAAATTAAAATTTAATAGATACATTCCCAACTTACCCTCATGACAAAAGGCCAAATTTTAATCAAGAATTAACAACAAAAATGTATCTTCATCAGTTTGAAGGCAACGAGATACAAACCTAGCAAATTATTTCATGTTGAACAGACAAACTTCAAAATACAGAAAGAAGCAGCACATCTCTAGGACCAGTTGTCACCATGCCTGAGAAGCACATTTTCTCCAGGCAATGAAAAGAATGAAGCAAAAACTCCACTTTTTTATCATCTCATTTTGCCTTTAGGATCATTCCTTTTTCCATGCCACACTTGCACCAGACTAACGTGTGACCTTGCTAGGAACAGAGGAACGTGCAAGGCCAGGAGAGAAAAACACTCTTTGCCTTCACTAAATGAAAATGGATAACAAAGGTTGAGCCCCAGGAATAACATAAGTCACAAATAATAGTGAGTACCTGCTTCCTGGGAGATTTACACAATAGAGACCACACACCAGCAACTGTTTGCCAGTAATATAAATTCAAATTGACAAGACTGAGGTATTATGGAACAGCATTTATCTCAAGATTGTCAGGAGAAGTCATTTCATTTCTTATGATTCATTTCATTTAGTTAGTGTATTAACTGGATACGTTATTGATCTTTGCTCCATCCAATTTCAGCTTCTATAGCATGGACAAAGTGATCCCAAAAATATCAGTCCTCTTTTCTTTTCTCTTTTTTCTTTTTGAAGCACAGGAATGTCTGATGAATATCTAAGGCAAACATCTCACTGTATTAGACATCTTATCAAAGGAACACATTCTGGAACAAGCAACTGCTTTTGAGGAATACATTAGTGTGAAAGTCAATTTTTCTGTAGTACTTCTTAGAACATCTAGAAAAGTGTTGTTCTAGATACTGTGCTCTCCTCTTTGCTTGATTGGATAAAAAGGCAATGATGAAGCAATGATGACAGTGTTTGTACAATCAAAAAAAAAAACAAAACAAGAAAGGAGAATAAAAAATGTTGTCAATCAGAGTAAGACTGCTATATGTCTGGGTGCCACCACCCTTCAGACAGAGAGGGCTGCTTTAAATATATACAAGCCACAGCTGTCACTCTGCAGAACTACATATCTTCCACTCTAAGACAGTATCATTTGACAGCTGCTACAAATATTATGAATATCATGGATGTCCTGTTATTCTCATCTGACAGTCTCTGAAGCATAAGGAGCTAGCTATTATGAAAAAAAAAGAGAAAAGGGTATGTGTGTGTGTAATAACAAAACAGCAGCAGAAAGCACATTAGGATGTCTTCCTAATGCTGAGATGGTCAGCAAGCATACAGGTGAGACTAGGATGCTGAGATGGTCAGCAAGCATACAGGTGAGACTAGGATGCTGTTTAATTTTATTTGGAAAGGCAGCAGGATTTGTAACTTTGAGAATCAATCTTCACTCTTCCCTAAGCCCTCTTGCATTTAAGGAATGAATTGAGTTTTAAAACTCTGGAAAAAGATAGAGAGTTTTACTATGCAGTTGCCTTAGAGTGGGAGAGGAACAAATGGCAGTATTCTAATTTTGCAGCAGCTCTGATTAGGTCCAGCAAGATCAGGGTCCCACTGAAAAAGGCTCAACACAAAGGAAGAATAGAAATGTTACTTTCCCAAGAGGTTACAGTAAAGACAGACAGAAGTCAGGGAATCACTCAAGTAATCTGCAAAAGAAATACTAACTTCACTTCTCTCCCACTAAAAGCCTGCAGAGCCACAGCCAACACACTCCTAGCAGTTTTAGCTTCCCACAGGTAAACCAGATATTTCTGATCTCTGCAATAATTGCGTCAGTGGATCTCCACATCCTAGAATCAAACTGTTCTGTACTGCTGAGATCGTCCTGATCTCATTGACCGCTGCACAGCAGCAATGGCTTGCTGCACACAGGGTGCTCTGCAAACATAAAGGTGCTGCCAAAGTCAGCATTTTTCCTGGGGAAGGCAGCCCTCGGAAGAAACAATTTGCTTCTAATGTTTAAAATGGCTGATCTCACACTTCTCCATTTTCCGGTCTTATGCGATTTTCTCATGGGCAGCCATTCCAATTCGTCAGGACAAAATTCCCACCGTCACATCGTAGTCTATTTTGACAGCGCCGCTTGCCAGTTCTGTCGTCCCCAAGCCGCAAGAAGCACTGCGGGCAGAGATTTAAGGCGCTCAGTGAAAGGCGGGCACCGAGCTGTTCAGGCGGGACGCTCGGTCAGTCGCAGGTACAAACCACAACCGAGCGAAAGGCGCCCGTGGGGTTTGAGCTGAGCATCCGCTCCACTCGCGGTGCGCACGCGCCCCCGTGCGGCCGCCCAGCGCCGGTGCGGCCCGGGCCCGGCACGGACCCGCCGGGATCGCCGGCAGGGAGCGCCTCGGGAGCGGCCCTGCAGGCAGCGCGGCTCTGCCACACACCCGCGTGTAACCGCGCCAAAGGATCGCTTCAACGGGGCGGTACAGAACACACGCTGTGAAACTAACAAATGTATAGCGTCCCGGGCTAGAGAGCAGCGCCTTGGAGAGATTCACACTTTGTCGATACAGTTGCAAAAACAGCAACTCTGTTAAATTTTGTGTTTACTGTCTCAATCCTTTGTCCTCCTCTTAAAAGAAATACTCCGAAGTCCTAAGGGGGGAAGAAAACAGCAAACAATACTTACCTAATCTCCCTGTTCTTCTTAAATCAAGTTGCTTTCGGCTTTTTTGTCCTGCTTGTTGTTTGCGCTTTTTAACACCTAAGTGGACATAGCACAAAGCAAGTTCAGAAGAGGTAGTACAGTTACAGACGACAGGAGACACTAACAACAACCATATGCAGGCCTTGCCGATGCTTTGTGAATTATGCAAGACTTGCATTAAATCATTATTGTTCTAAATGTGCACGTAATAAAGACAGCAAAGACAGGACTTCTTACACAGTAGTATGACAGAGCACTCAACTTGTGGTTGCTAAGGAATATAAACAGCGATGCAGAGAACTGACAGATTAATCCAGCTGGGATAGGTATCCAAACAATTGTATACTAATTTATTTTTTTAATTTGTTTCAATAGGATGACACCATAATTGGCTAAGAGACCAGACAAAGCCTACAAAAATCCATAGAAAATGGAAAACCTGCCTTTGACTTCTCTGGGTTTTGGTCTGTGTCACAAACTGCAACACTGACAGCCAGGAAATGAAAAAACAGAATTACACAGAAGGCAGTTCAAATTCAATCAGTCTTTCACAGCCAGAACCCCACAGAAATTCAATATCTCTCAATTTGCTATTTCACATTTATAGGCAATTACCTATTTCACATCTTTTACTTTTTTGTTTGTACATCACACAATTAGAAGGCAATTACCTAAAATATAAATTTTTCAGATCATTAAAGCTGTTAATAAAATTTGATTTTCAGTGTAAGAGCATTCACACACCAACAAAGAAAACAATTCTTCCTGACTGCATCCCAAACTTGACAGGAACTCCATTTCTATTTCAACGTACTCCATCTAATTATGAAGCCTTTCAGCAGATCCAAATACTGGATAAAGTCACCCAAATTAAAGAAGCAGGGAGAAGAAAAGGGTAACTTGTTAAGGCTCCTCATCTTTTTTGTAGAGACATTTTGCTCTCATACCTCAGCTTTGCCTTCAGCAAGTTTTGGAAGGTTCCAATTAAAACATGCTTTGAGCACTGGGCACCATAAGGCCTGGTGATTTCCTGAATTAAATCTAAAAATGCATTGGAGCCTAGAAATGCTCCAACACTCATCCCATCCTGTTGCCTTGATTTTTTAAGGTTTTCTAAACTTTTTGATGTTTACTGTCTGATTCTTGTAACCAACTTTCTTACACACTTTATGTAAATAACTTCTTGTTATTGCTTTGTATTCTTTTATGGAAGAGGAGAAATTTGATGGACTGTTAGTTTATTCAGTGTTACTGGAGAGGTGGCACTTTCACCCTCCAATTCACTGTCACTTTTAGAAATCTATAAATGTTGGAGTCAGAAAAATAAAGGTCCCTTTTTTACCTTGGAAAGAACAGCAAGTCCACGTCATGTTGTTTCACATCTTGTAGTGACACTATCCAGTGTTCTCACTCTCCTGTCTCCAAGCTAAGTAGAGAGACCTATATGTTGCAAAACCCTGCTGATTTTGCACGGGTTTATTTCAGACTACTTTACACCTAGACCCCTTTCTAGTTTTGTGCCCTCAGGAGCAAGGGCCATGGCAAGCCCAGAGTGCTGGAGTCCAAAGCCATGACTGGAAAATGACACCGTGTCTCTGCACCTTTCTAAGCAGCAGCAGCTACACCACCAGCACACACACGTGTTGCACAAGCAGCAGCATGTGACACCCAGCAAGGACAGACATGACACACCACCCTCCTGCTTTCCTTGCACTGACCCTACTCACCTGTAGGGGGAAAAAAATTACCTACAGATGTCACACCTCAAACTTTGCTTCCTTTTATGAGCAAAACCTTTAGTGGAAACATCATAAAGTTGATTAAAGTGTGACCATTACCATTACGAAGGAGGTGATTCTGCCCCTCTACTCCACTGTTACAAGACTTCCCATCCAAAGTGCTGCCAGCACAGAAATTATGTTGGAGCAAGGGCACAGGAGGGTCATGAAGGCTGGAGCACCCCTTCTATAAAGACAGTCTGAAAGAATTGGGATTGTTCAAATGAAGACTCCAAGGATGCCTTCCAGCACCTTCCAGTACCCAAAGGGGGCTACAAGAATGCTGGAGAGGGACTTTTTACACCTGCCAATGTGGGGCATCCCAATGGTGGGAATGGCTTCAAATTGAGAAAGAGTGGGTTTAGACTAGATAATAGGGAGAAATTCTTAACTGTGAAGGTAATGAAACACTACCACAGGTTTCCCAGAGAAGCTATGAATGCTCCACCAGGAAAGTGTTCAAGGCCAAGTTGGATGGAACTCTGAGCAACTTAGGGGAAATTGTCTTTGCCCGTGGCAGGGGTGTTAAAAATAGGTTAGAAAGGCAATTACCTAAATTTAGGTAATTGCCTTCTAACAATTAGAAACTGTTGTAAAATAGCTGATAATCGTTAAGCATGTACTGTTAGTTTGGTTGTTATATTGTAAAAGGGGTTAAAAGGGTAATTATAAGAAATACGGTATGCAACATACCATAATACACCTAAGTGAAGTGCAGCACTCCCCAGGCAAAATGAGCCAACCTGGACAAAACTCTAAAGGGCCAACCAACCGCCTAAAACCTTCTCGCAAATGAAGCATCCAAAAAGAAACCAATCCAAAGGGACAAAAAACAGGTTAAAAAGGGGCATCCGACCCAGGGAAGCCGTGCTGCTCCACCTGGAACACCGGGGACCTCGCTGCTGAAGACCCAGCGCCGGCGCTGCAGCATCCAGCGACCGCCCCGGCTCGGCCCGCAAGCCCCTTGCTTTAGGCCGTTCTTTTTCTTATAATAAATGCTGAGATCGCTTTTAGTACCAGGAGTCTGGTCCCGTTTTTAACAGAGGGGGGCTGGAACTAGATCATCTTAAAGGTCCCTTCTAAGCCAAACCATTCTGTGATTCTCCTCCGTTTCCCTCACTGCCAGCTCCTGCTTCGCCCCGCCGCTGCGGGCCGGGTCCTGGCCGCACCCGGGGCTGCCCAGTCCCCGCCAGTGCCCCCTGCCCGCTGCCCCCGCCTCTCCCCGCACTATCGGGCTCCTGCCCTCGCTTCGCTGGCACTACACGGAGCCGGTGAGGAAGCCGCTCGTTTTAGGGCATTCTCACGGACCGACCGCTTTCGGGCCCGCGCCGCCAATCGCTGCAGCCGGCAGCGCAGGCCAGGGCCCTGTGTCCGCTCAGCGCCCCGCAGCGGGGCCGGCCCGGCGCACGGCCCGTGCCCACAGTGGGGCCAACCCAGCACACGCCCACAGCGGGGCCGGCCCGGCACACGCCCACAGTGGGGCTAATCTGGCCCATGCCCACAGCGGGGCCGCCGCTGCCCCCTGTCCGGCCGCCGGCTCCTTGCCCTCCGCCGGTAGGTGCCCGCGGCCGCCGCCGAACCCTCCACACAGCGAGGCGGCACCGGCCGTGAGCTCGGGATGGCCCCGGGGGTTCGGTGCCCCCTCCGGGGAGCTGGGGGTGGGTGGGCAGCAGGGGTGTCTCGGCATGGCGGCGAAGCGGCGCTCAGCTGTCCCTGAGAGCACAGCCCCAGCCCGCCCTTGTGCACGGGCAGCAGCGCGCCTGTGCCGGGCTGCGGGGGAAGCGGAGTTCGGGAGGCGGTTTTGGGAAACACGAGATGTGTTTGTTCAAAGCGGCCTTACTCGGTAGATCGTTTCTGGTAACTGGCGGCACATGCGTGTTGCTGTGGCTGCTCTTTGCCCTTCCATTTAATTTCCCTGCCTGCTGTCCCTTCACAGGAGATTCCTTCTTGTGGCCTTTCCAGGCCATCGTGCTTCCTGCCGGACTGCAGTTCACTAGATAGCGAACTCTATGGGCACCAGGGAAAAGGAGGAAAACACTCATCAGATGCATTTGAAAGACGTTCTTAATTATCCTTTCCAAAAAAATACCCCACCTCTAACTTGACAAGTGTTGTGACTTATAATGATGGCTTGCAATCCTAAAAGCACTTCAAATGCAGTGCTTAATAGAGCTAAATAAAGCTGGCTTCTCATTAACTAAAAATGAGCTGGTGGTTGTTTAAGATCCATCAAATCTTCAGATTTGTAATTTGCCATTAAAACTCCAGAGCTGACAGTAAAGGGAGGGGAAAGAGGATTTTTCCTGCTCACTGGCATACCACAAATTACCCAGATCAAAAGCATTATTTGTGGGAGATGCACATACTAAAAGCACACTGCAGTTCTTATTCCCTTTTCTAGCTTCATGTCCAACTAATTATTCTTTCTCCATAGATATGAATTACTCTAGGTTCATCACCACTGTGAGTGCAGCAAGAAAAGCATCTCCAATAAGACTGCTGAGTGAGTACATGTCCCTTCCTCCCAGTTTCTCTGATAGTACCATTCTATGTTCTGGTCTGTGCTGGGGTATCATGGCTTAAGACTTCAAAGGTTTGAAAGAAAACCGTGCTGTAAGATGACAAAGCAACTTCACTTTTGTCAAGCAGAGATGCCAAGCAAGTATAAAGAAAAAGAAGGTGAATAGCCTTGAACCATTTCGGAATCCCATCCAGACAGATGAGTTAGAATTATCGCTTTTACAAGTGTCTCCAAAGTCTCTGCTACTGTCTCTGAATGCAGGCTTTTGGCACAGTTTGCAACTGAGTTTATGTTGTATGTCCAGGAACAGGCAACTGCTAGTGACTTGAAATTCAGTCCCTGCAGGTTTCTTTCCACTTCATTTTACTGTATCCTGTTCATGTCTATAAATGCCTCAGCACCCCCACCCACCCAGTATTACTACACTTCCCTTTTCCATATTAATCTGTCTTTAGGCTACAACATTACATTGTCTTCCATGTGACAGATGGAAGAGCTTAACTGCCTGCTTGTTTACTCAGCTGAAACCCACAGAGACCTGACAGAATCCAAGCATGAGACATACATCACTAGTTAAGCCTTCAGGGGTCAATTTCCCCTCTTGGTAAGGGGCTGGCATTTGCTGTTCTGCTTAAAATGCTTCACACAGGTACAGCAAAATCATGTCATTCACTCTAGGCAGCCTCTTTTTCAAGTGGTACATTAATATGCATCATAACAGAAGTATTAAGCAGCGCAGTTCCTGTAGATAGACATACTGAGCCTGCAGTTTTGATGACAAAGTAAATCTCTCTTTACCAGGCCAAAAGTCACAGGCAAAACACAAATTGGTGAAATAACTGATAAGAATTAACTCCTATGTTCAAGTCTGCTAATAAGTACTGGGAAATAAACTCTGTAACAGGCCACTTTTAAGCCAGATCTGGTGTCATCTGTCCTCTCATATCTGATGTAAAACTGTCGAGCCAGCATGAATGCCATATTGGGAATTCTTAGATTTAATGCAATCAAGTGCCCTTGCTGGATTAAGGTCTGGTCTGCACTGCATAGATTGGATCTGAATGATTGTGAAACTGTGACTTAAAAGCAGGAATTAAGATTTTCTTCATAGCAAATTACTTACACAGTACCTCTGCCACTAAAACTGGGCTGCTAGAAACATTTCCATTCCCTTATAGAAAAGCTAAAATCATCTGTCAGTATAGCTGACAGATCAGCTGAAGTGAGACTGAATGAAAAACAGAACAAAAAACAAAACCATTCATTTCAAGTCAGTCTAAACAGAAGATCATTTAGATTTTAAATTCTTGAAGCTCAGAAGACATCAGTCATGACAGTTTTTGTAACAGAGCTGTCCAGATTGTTTCAAAATAAATTACAAGTAGCTTTTTTAACTTAAAATTATTTTTTGTTTTAGTCTGTCCTAGCAGTATCTCCCTCCTTGGGCCCCCAAACACCTATTTAATCCAAGCAGAAAGCTAACTATAAGGAGTTATCCTTTTGAATTCATGATAGTTAAACAAGTAAACTGAAAAATAGAAGATGTTTTCTGGGCCATTATTAGATATTGATTAAAGGAAATGATCACCATTGTAATAATCAAATTGTAACCAAGGTGTTTTCCTTTTACTCTAGCTGAATTGATGCAGAAGTCTCCTCCATCTCTTATCTCTCTGGCTGGAGGGGCACCAAATCCTAATGTCTTTCCATTTAAGAGGGCAACAGTTGACATTGGACATGGAACACCTATTGAGATTGGGGAAGATCTGATGAAGAGAGCTCTCCAGTACTCAGCCTCAGCAGGGTATCTGTCACAGCTGCTTGCACTTCAAGATACCAGAAGCTAAGCATCATAATATCCTTTATTATTGCATTAAGTCACCTGTGTTTTTAAAACCTGCTCATAAAGCCCTTTTTTTCAAAAAATAGGTTATTCCCAAAACCCATGGGGTTTTTTTTTCAATTTGCCTCACTATTTACATTTGAGTTCCAGTGGAAAATCTTGCAATGAGTTATGTAAAAAGAAAAAAAAATCCACTTAAAACCCTAATCCTAGTATTTCTCAGGCCAGAGCATTTCCAACTATTTGTGTTTGAAAATCCAGACACCCAAATCAGATTTTATTTAAAAAATACTGCATTACAACACATTGTTTCTATGTTTTGGAGTATTTATTTTCATTTGGCACCATATACTAAAGTCAGCGTGTAGAACTTGTGGTAGTTGAGTGGAGGTATTTATAGAATTGTCATCTTTGGTACAAAAATTGCAAATCATTATATTCCATATCATTATATTGCTTTAGTGCTCATGTAGACTTCTTGGCAGACAGCACTGAGTCAGGTGAGGACAGGTTTGCAAAAAGACTGGGGTACCTACAGAGATACATGGGACATCAGTTAAAACTTTCCTTAACATTTAAATGAACCAGCCATTTGTGAACATCCTACAAGATCTTAAGATTTTTTTTTTTGAAAACATGTTTTGGAAATCCTTGTAATCTGCAGCAGGTTACAAGCAGCATTAAGAACTTTGGCTCACTGCCAGATTTGAGTACAGAATGATCATTTCTGAGAGTGGGTATTGTTCAGCCTCCACCTTATTTCATCCTTGGCAAATAATTTCTGCCCAGATTTCACTATGATAATTTGGTGTATGGACCACAGGCAGAAATTATTTCTAAATTATTTCATTTTCTAAATTTGAAAAAGCAGTCATAGCAATTGCATTTAAGTGTATCTGTGTGACAGTTGAACCAAACTCAGGACTGCATGCTAGATTTGGCAGGGGTTTAGAGGAACAGACTAGCTTTGGCCTATATAAGGTCTGAGATATGCCTTCTTATTCACATTTCAGCATCCCAGAGCTGTTGTCTTGGCTGAAGGATTTCCAGCGGAACTTACACGATCCCCCCACAGCCAATTACAGCCCTGAGCAAGGACAGATGGAAGTGTGTGTCACAACTGGCAGCCAGGAAGGCTTGTGTAAAGTAAGACCAAAAGACTCATATGTTAGAAGCATTTCATTCAGAGAGATGTTTATTCTTCCATCACTTCAGCTATATTCAGCATTAGGTGCTCTCTGTAACTGTGTGCAGGGTACTGTTTCATGTACTCTTTCTCCATAGATATGAAATTACTCTGGGTTTATGCACAAGATAAGGGAAATGCAATAAAATTGGAGTGGCATTCTAGACTATCAGGACTGCATGAAAGTTCAGGTGACCAAAAAGCCTGTGTAGAAGACATGCAATAAGATAACATATCATGTTACTCAAGTAGTGCAATAATAAATGCATAGAGGCTTTACCATAATTCTATTTTAAATGTTGCTTCTAATTTTTACTTCCTAATTTTTGGGGGTTTTTACTTGCTGAAATAATTACCCTTTCCAGTCCACTCTCACTGCTGTTTACTTGTTTCTTTCTATAATTTATACAGTAGAAAGGGTGCTTCAGAGCACTCTCTTTCCATGTCAAGTTGGTAACCGATCTTAATTTGGCTCTAAAACAGATTTTTCATGCATTCATTGTCTTTCTCACAGACAAGATATTGATATGGTTGGGGAATTACTAGTATCTAATTAAGGTTTTTAACCCCACTAAGAAGTCAAAAGTACAAAGCACATGTATAATAACTGACCAATCTTTAAAACAGAATATTTTCTTTTGCAGGTGTTTGAAATGCTCATTAATCCTGGAGACAACATCCTTTTGGATGCACCCACATACTCGGGGACACTAGCAGCTGTAGGTATTCCTTAGCTACAAAACATTGTCAAGGTTACATTTGAACTAAATAGTAGTTTAATGCCTGATCTGCAGTCTTACAAGCACTGTATTTGCCATAAAAACATATCTAAGACTCAAGATTTTAGTGTCCAACTAGTTAAGTTCATAAATATTAATTCATAGAAGGTTTGAAGGAACTACTAAAAGTTCTGTGAAAGCTATTTGAAATTCCTCTTCCAAACACTAGTTTATTCCAGGGCTAGGATCACATATGGGACTGGAAAGAAAGCCATCAGGACCTAGTTTAGTTGAATTAAATTTATAACAAGTGAGTGTGTTAACATGTCAGCATGTTTACCTGAAGTATTTAATGATCAGAGTATACAAGAGATATAAATAGTGTAATATTGGAATAGGCCTGAAGCAGCCATATATGAATACAAAGATATGAATTAGGGAGAACTGTACAAAAGCAGCAAAGTTTACTTCTGAAAAGTAGTTTAATCAATATAAAATTAAATGCCTCAAAATGCATAAGAGTTTCAAGAAGGGTTAGAATAAATACACCACAAATTCAGTTGTCCCCCCTTGCACCAAAAAAATTTGTTATTGCTTACTGTCCTATATTTGAATATATAGTCTAATCAGCTGTACTTTTTTAGGAATGTATTTTGACAATGCAGCAGTTTGCAGTTTTACTTAAAAATGCAGAGCACTACATGGTACAAATTGAAATTCCACAGAGGAGGGACTGCAAGCTTTTTCATTGGTATTTTACCTATATTTTTTCATGCTGCTGTCAACATGTCACTGCAGTAGCATCATTTCATTCTCCTTTTTATTGCTGAATTTATCTATTTAGAGAACAGATGCCTTGCCCTTTGTCAGGGAAGAGTAGCTTAAAGCTCTGACATTTCCACCAAAGTAGAGTGTATATTGTCAGTAGGAAACAAAGGTGCTGTGACCCTAACTGTCTATGGTGAGAGCAGTTCAGATTCACAAACTCCCTTTCCACTTGAAAAACCAAACCTGATTTCCTAGAAAAGAGCAGCAACTGAACATAGGAGTTACCCATTTCCTCTGAGTTGGTTTACTAGAACAAATAAAGAGTAATATAATAAAGAGTATATAATATGAGTAATATAATAAAAAAAAATGTGGTAAGTGTCACAAGCCTTACAGCAAATTCAGGCAAACTTTTATTGGACTCATGAGCAAATGGAGCTTGAGATGTCTATAAAATCAAAAAGAAAGACTTTGTATTGATGAAATGTTATGGTGACAATGACAAAAGGAAGGCCTTTGAATTACACAATTATGACAGTTTTGTTCTTTCTATCAACAGTTGAGACCCTTGGGTTGTAATATAATTAATATTCCTAGTGACCAACACGGCATTATTCCAAGAGCTTTAAAAGAAATTCTGTCTGCATGGAGCCCAGAGGATGTAAAAAATTGTAGCAATCACCTCCCCAAATTCCTGTACACTATTCCAAATGGATGCAACCCAACTGGCAACTCGCTGACCGCAGAGCGCAAAAAGGAGATTTACCAGGTATGGAACTGTGTTCTTGTGAACCTTGTAGGTGGAAATAGATAAATATCAGTCTTGTTTCAGTTGAAGATATCCTATGTTTGCTATTCAGGCCCATTATTGGTCCAGCAAACAGTCCTCCTAGAACTGCTTCTAGTAGAATCTCTTCCACAGCAGCTCTTCAGAGGCAGACTATGCCTTAGGTAAACTGTTTTTCAATGGTAGCCCACTGGCAGCTGGTACCTTGCCATGGGCTTCTAACAGGACTTACTGCATGTTGCCCGCACGGTTTGAATGCCACATGGAACAGAGCTTCAGTTGCATACAAGGGTCTGTGTACTATACGTACCATGATTACTCTTACAATTTTTTGATATCTAACTTGGGTACTTGAAGGCTTCTTATCATGGGAGCTTCTAGATAATGAATGGCCAATCAATAGAATCATAATATGATGCTGGTTAAAAAAAAATCCACCAGACTGAATTTGCAGCATCTTTAACTCTTATTTCTTTTGTTACTTTTTATTAACTTATTCAGCTTGCAAGAAAATATGATTTTCTCATAATAGAAGATGATCCTTACTACTTTCTTCAATTTGAAAAGGTAATTTTTCTTTCATAATCCTTATAACACCTTATTTTCTGGGGAGAAACTAAGGTTTCACAAGAGAACTAAGGTTTGAGCCCTGAACCTTCCTGCATGCCTCTTCTTCACGTCCTACCAAGGCAGTTGTAGGCCTGACAGTCTGTGCTCCTTTCAGTAATTTTCCCCTTTGTGGTAATTCAAATTCCTCAAGCCTCATACAGGATAGAATTTTTCAGTAATCAGAAAATGACGAAGACTTTGCATTCAGAGCAAAGCAAGTATGTCACTGAAGCAGCACTTTGAAAATTTCACCCTCTTAATGTTCCTTTCTCCCCATCTCTTCTTTCATTCAGCAGAAGACTGCATACTCTGCACCTACTATATATATCCCTTTGCCTTTTGGAGAATCTGGGAGTTCTCCCAGGTACCACATATAATGGCACTGGATAGGCAGCTTCCCTTCCTGTAAATTTTCTGCAAATTTCATATGTGAATCTGCAGTTCCTCAGTCTTTAAAAGCACCTAACGTCAGAAATCAAAATGGGTCTTAAAAAGCACTAAAACATTGGTAGAAGATAAAGGTCAGCATTTTCTCTTTTGAAATATGTTTTTATGGAAGGAGGCAATAAAACTGCCACACTTATTGAATAGTATTGTGAAGCTTTGTAAGAAAATGAAGGGAAAAAGGTGTAAAAACAGAATTCATGATAAATAAAAGGTATGCTGGATTCAGATCTTCACAATTTGGTCCTATCTTCTGATTTCACTTTTTAATATAGCAAAGCAAAATGCTACAAGCCTCCATTTTAGAAATTGCAATACCTCTTTACTCCACAAGAAATCTTGGCAGAAAAATCATTATTTCTCTCTCCTTCTTATGGCATCATACCAATTCTTAAACTGAACACTTGTGTGCTGAACAGTGGGCTAAGCAATCATCAAAAAATAACAAAGCTGATTTCTTGAAGATGTTCACAGAATACTGTAATCACATCTCAGAAAGCTAGGCTAAGCAATCACTTGTTAGCAAGTTACTGAAATGTTTTCCTTGGCACACACATTTGAGAAATTAATTGTGTCTTCCTAGTAAAGAAAATAATTCCATTATAATCCTTACTAGCAAAAATCCTTGAATTTTGTTTTTTATTCTTTATTCCAAGCCATGGGCTCCAACTTTCCTCTCAATGGATGTGGATGGCCGAGTTATCAGGACCGACTCTTTCTCTAAAATTCTCTCATCTGGGTAAGGCCAGCTGCAGACCACTTAGCATTGCCTGTTCACTTAAGATGCAAGGCTTCATATGAAGTGATGAGACATGCCATGGTGTTTTCTCATTTACTAACTATCCACTTCTGGAATGAGCTTCAGAATCAACGGCTTTTTGCACTCTTCTCACTTTTCATGTCATCTCTTGGCAGTCATTTTACTCCAGGTTCTGTTTCTCTTCTGAAGCAGATAGCTAAGCCTCTCCCCCCAGGCAGCCCATTCTTGTAGGCACAATCTAGGCAGAAAGATGCTGGATTCCAGCTCTGTTCCTGGAAATCTTAGGAGCTTTTCGCTCTTTTTTTTTCCATTTCCCTTTTTATCTGTAGCTTAGTATTCCTGCAAGCTCCCTGAACTTGTTACACAGAAAAGAAACTATAATTCTTAACAAACTGTTCATAGGGTTGTACTGATATCTAGCTTTCCAGTTCTTTCAGGTTGTTTCCACCTGCCAGAAAAAGAACCAACTTGGCTGTTTTCCATTTCACACAAGTCGATGTATTTGATTTTTAGCTTGCTTTTGTCTGTTAACCCAATAGATATAAAAAAAATAATGTGAAGTCTGCATTGGCAGACAGTGGATTATAACCCATCCTAGAGAAAGTGAGGAGACAACATAATGCTGGGTGTGATTGCATTTTCAGAACTGACACCTCAAAATGGCATGACACAGTATTATCTTTTCCAAAGACATGTATGAGTTTACAGGCTCCATTTTTCTTCAAATAAAAACTTCAGCCAATCTGTAAGGATGGGTAATAAGAATTGAATCATAAGGAACCATCTAGTTTATCAATCTATATTCAATTCCTTCTGCAGTACTGAAAGGGAGTGAAAGAATAAAGCAATTTGCCACTTACCTGTTTGTCATAAAGCCTGAGCATTCATGATCTTTTATTATGGGAAAACTTGTCTTTCTTTCCCTTTGATTCATGTTATCTTTGTGGTTGCAGAAGATAGCTTCTAAACATAGATTTTGTCCTGAAGCCTCATAACTAAGAAGCTACTATAAGCATTAAAACTTCTTAAATGTTTTTATTTCATTACTTTGGTACTCAGCTTCTAAATTGTATAACCTGAGGGCAGTATTAAGATACAGATAAATTTGAATGCATAAGAGATCCATACACTATCAATGAAATTGTTGCATGTTTTCCCACATATAACTCAGAAAAGTATTAGCACATTGCATTTCTGTGGTAACTTTTTGTTTGTTTGGTTCCAGTTTAAGAATTGGTTTTCTGACGGGTCCCAAGCCTCTCATTGACAGAGTTGTTCTACACATTCAGGTGTCAACAATGCACACCAGCACTTTCACACAGGCAAGTACCAAGCCACCAGATGAATTGTATTTAGAGAAGACAACATATCCTAAGTTACAAGAAACTGCAAGCAAACAGCTTTGTACTTTCATAATTGCTCTGCACTTTTACAGTTTTGTTTATGCACATGCATTGTCAATTCTGCCAAAGGAAGAGAGACCATCATAGAACCAGAGCTAGAGGGTTGTCCCAGTGCATGGATAGTTCAGCTGATATCCCTTAACCCTCAAATTTCAAGAATCAAGTTTTGAAATACTTTATCTCTTTCTGGTAGGTTCTTTTGAAAAACCTTAATGTAAAGCACAGTATGGAAGAAACACTCATTTTTTATTTTTTATTCTACTTTTCAATTAAAACAATACTGGCAGCCCACAAAGACATTTCAAAGCAAGCTGACAACTACAGCCCCTTTATGGTTAGTACTAAGGAAAGGAGACAGTGAACACATCTAAATACGGCTTCCATCTTCCAGCTCCATTAGTTCGTCCCTGTTAAAGTGGAGAGGCCGATGTGGACAGGAAGGTAAGGCAATATACATTGCCTTCCTCTTTCTCCCCATGTACCATATTTACCTCTCCATCCATTTTTCCCTTCCCCCCACCCCAGCTTCCAAATACCAGTGCCATGGTCCTTGGAGACACCAGTAACATGGACAATAATAACCTTGGCACCTCTGTTTATTAGGGCTCCCAGAGACACCGCATGCAATTTCATGTCTGGGGAATGTTGAATAGTGCATCTGGCCATGGATCTTTTGATGATTGTGGAACAGTCCTGTTTAAAACATGGTATTGATGATGTGTTTTATTTCTTTAGATTATGATATCACAGCTCCTTCAGCAATGGGGACAAAAGGGTTTCTTGGAGCACATAGACAGGTAGGGTTATGTCCTATGCTGAATTTCATCATCTGTCATTCTGCTACTTGTTGCCTACAGCAAACATTGTTTGTAGCAAAAAAGTTGGAGGAGCTGCACCAGTATTAGGCCAAGTAGGCAAGACAGATCACCGAGACTGCTGGGTTCACCAAGAGCCCTGAGGAGACACAGTGTGAGGTTGCAGACAGGCAGGTCAGGGCATGTCACCTCCTACTCCAGGCAGACAATCCACCAGTCCATTGGCACAGATATCATGCAGCTCCTACCTGAAGGGAGCTTGAGAGGATCCTGGAAGCATCAAGCCAGTGAAAAAAGTTTGGATCCCTGCTAAAGTGTTAGGGTCTATAGCAAAAGCTGAGATCTCTGAGCACAGGATCTATTGTGAAAGAGTCAGCATAGCCTTTATAAAGGGAGTTCACTAAGTTAGCAGGAGTTTACACTCTTGCCATCCTTGATCTCCTGACTGGGGATACTGATGGAAAAACAGTGAAGTTTATCTACACACAGTAAACATTGCCTGAACATTGCCTCTCACTGTTAGAGAGCACTGGGCTACCATCTGACTCACAAGACATTTCTTGCATACTGACTGACACACATTTAGTTTTCATTTACTATGCAGGAGAGCATAGTTTCTCTTGACAGTCAGTACCTCATTTTATACGCTCTACTTGGATATCATTAGAGCCACAAGTTTCTCACTTCAGTAGGAGTGTGCTACATTCTGCAAAGGGCTGTGACAGCAAAATGAGCAAAACATGCAAGAAGTTCTTATATCTCACTGTAACAGCCACTTGTGTCCCCTTGATGTTCATACTGTTAACAGCAATATTTGGGAAAAAAAAATCAAACCAGACGCATCAGCCTTAGCATTGCTTTGTTTTAAGATTTAGGAGCATAAAGAGAAATCTCACCGAGGAACTTGGACCACACTTTAGCTCAACTTTCAGTAGTTCCCAAAAAATAAATCCCAAATGCATCTCTTCACTTACCTCTTTGTTGTAGGTCAAAAGGCAGCCTTGATCAAGCTTGGAGGCTGTTCTTCCACTTAAACAAATGAAAACAGGGCTGTAGTGAGGCAGCTGCAGTACTTACTTTATAACCTTACTGATGAAGCCTCACAGCTGACTGCAATCTCTTCCAGCTGATTTCACTTGTACAAGGGTGAGGTGTTAGATCAGGCTTTGGAGTAGAAGATTGGTTTTTTTTGGAGCAGCTGCTTTTTTTGGGAATGTTTCACTTTAGTAATTGTTGTGTTTTCAACACGTAATTTAAATGGTAACAGGATTTGCAATTTTGGTAAAAGCTGCACAAGGAGATTTACTCTCTCATATAGAATGTAGCAATAGATATACTGAGCCCCAAAGCTGTTTAAGTTTCTGGAGGTATTGGTGTTTGTGTATCAGATGTAATAAAATACATCCATAAATCAAAAGTACTGGTTCAGAAAGTATTTTTAAAATTACAAATGTAAAATTATGAAAAGTATGCAAATTACTAAGGATGTTTTCTCAAGAAATGGGAACACATTTGCATTTGAATTATGAACTCAGTATCAGGCATTTCTCTTGTGCCTTCTATTGCACAGCTGTGTCATTTTATGTTGACAAAATCCGCTGCATGTGACTTGTCCATGGTGAAACCTGGGTTAGGGTCATTTTTCCCAGTAAGAGATTATATTATTTGAAAGTTTTACTTGAAGTTTGAAGGAGATATGTCCAAAAGCTTAGAAAGGGGAAGCTGTCAAATAGCTGTGACAGGTTTATCATATGATTTGCTTTTTACCTTGTTAAATGTAATTTCTATGAGTACCTGTTACACAAATTCAACCCAAATGCACAAATATTAAGTCTGTGCTTTTGCATATGTTAAAGTCCCTAATTTTCTTCAGTGTGTGTGCTTTGTGCAGTAAATACTGTTAACAGGACTTCTATCCACTGCTATAATAGACAGATTGGATGTAATATATAAAAGGTATTTGTGATATGTGTAAAGCTGAAGAAACAGCCACACAGGGACTTCCTCTGTCTGGTTGATCAGTGCTCTGTTGGAGGCGCAGTGAAGCAGCAAAGACTTCTTGGATACATATACAAAGTTTTATATACACAGTATACTCTGTTGTGCCCACCTAGTATATGCTTATATTTCTATTAAATGTGCTTGTTCACTTGAGTTGTTCAAGTAGGAAAGCTTTGTTTCTGCCTCCAGAAACAACAAATAGACCCTGAAGGATATGAGTTCCTAACTTTGAATTGATAATTTGCTTTCAGAGTGGTGGACTTCTACAGGATCCAGCGGGATGCAATGCTCACTGCTGCTGACAAGTGGTTAAAAGGTCAGAGTGCAACACAGATAATAACTTACATTTTTTTGCTAGCTACTTATCATCTTTGTGCTCAAGAAAAATCACTGAAGTTCATCTCTTGACTGAAGTGACAGATAAGCACTATAAGCAATCAATTGCATTAAATATTAAGCTTAGAACAAATACTCTATTGCTGCATTTTTGTGCTTTCTGGTAGGACAGGGAAATAGATGGTGATGAAAAAAAGCTCACCACATTACTATTTAAAGCAATTTTACAAAGAGCTTGTATTTCACTTCATTATGTTCTCATACTTTCGATATTTAAAATATCTGTCTTCAAAAAATCTCAAAAATAGTGACCTTAATTTAGAAGAAGATACAAAAACATCGCTATAGCAATAGTGATAATAATGTTTGTATCAGCAAATCTAAAACATCATTGAATCTATGATGTATCCATTAGAAGTGGGGCATAAGTTTCTTCCTTGATTCCATTTTCTCTCTCTCTCTTTCTCTAGACTTGGCAGAATGGTACCCTCCTGCTGCTGGCATGTTCTTATGGATCAAAATTAAGGGTATTTCTGATACACAGCAGCTGATAATGGAAAAGGCTTTGAAGAAAGAAGTATGACATGATTTAATGACTTGTGATCTTAAAACAAAAAAAGGGAGGGATAAAATATCTGTATCTATCCATATGTGCACACATAATAAAGCAGGGGGACTTGCTGTGCACCATTATTAAGTCTGCAAGTCAGGCACTGCGGCATAGTTATTGACTAACAAAATATTTTCATTACTCCATTCAGATGCTGATATTTTATCAGTTTACTTAAATTGAAATCAATAGAACATATGGTACAATGTCATTATGTATGACATATATATAATATTAATATATATACCTAAATGTATCATGGCTGCTGACTAAATTTTTTTAATGACAGAAATTAAGTTTGGGTTTATTTCTCCAATTTGTAAGATCCAGCACTGAGTAAGCTACACCCCAGGTGCCTCTAAGCATTGTGATGATATGAACAAGACCTGGTAACCAAAACCAAAGACCCCTTGGTTTTATTATGAAAAGTCTGGTTACAGATTGCATATTTTTGTATTCTCATTTTGAAAAAAGGAATATATTACACCATGCTCACACTTACAAGTCTGTAAGCACTGAGCTTTCTCAAATTTAATTCAACATAGTGTTTTAAAAATATAGAAGTGGTAATAACTATGTGTTAATCACTTTTTCATAGGTATTACTGGTTCCTGGAGGAGCATTCAATATTGATAGTTCAGAGCCTAGTTCTTATGTCAGAGCCTCCTTCTCTCTACCTTCTCCTGCCCAGATGGATCTGGTGAGATTTTCTTTCCTTTACATTCTTATCAAGACAGTTTCTCACACAGTAATGCTCCTTTATTTTTTACATCCTTCTCCTTATATTTTTTCTTAAATGTTAGAGGTTTTAGTCTGTAGGTGATTAAGCAGTACTTTCACAGCAGTATTAACTGTTCCTTAAGCAAGATACTCATCCAAATAATCTGCAAGATACCAAATTTTGAGGACCACTTAGAATTTTTCTGTGTATCTCATACATACAGTGTCTCACAGTTGAACCTCCCAGACATTATTTATAAATGCTTTACTGAAGCCAGAGTATTTGCTTACGTATTAGCAGGCATCCCGTATCTTTGAGACTTTGGATTCCCAACATTCTGTGATTGAATTACCTCTGTTCTTTTTTCGTGTGTGTGTTGAAAATTCTTTGTAAGAAAGACTATTGTTTTCTTTCATACAATTTACATACAAGCATAATTTTACTATTTATTATTTTATTTATTTTGTTTATTTTTTATTTCTTTATTATTATTCCTGATACTATTATCAGGAACTAATCTTTTATGTGTGTTAGGAGCATTTTTGATGTTATTTGGCTCTATCTATAAAATCAGTGGGAGAAAAGATAGGAGACATTTATTTGTGCAGATTTAATGCTGACTTGATTGGGTGCATGAAAAAGTCCAGTATTTGTAGTTGTACTTTCATGTCATTATGAAGGCTTGTAACAGATAATGCTTCTATTGCCAATGTAGGTCTTCTATATTTCTTCTATTTTTTCCTTTTTCTTTGTTAAAGTAATTCATAACCATACTCTTGACAGTCAAGCTCTATTTTTATATACTTCCCCACTCAACTGTTCTTCCCTTTTTTCACTTTTGGAGTCCCTGGGCAGTAATACTAAGTTAAAAGAGATCCTCTTTTAGGCATCACTAGCTTGTTAGAAGTTATATCTGACCTCCAAATAACCTTTGAACATCAATATATGCATTTTTCTGTTTCAGAAATCTCTGCCTTTTATTTCCTATCAGAGAATTGGAAGCTTTTTGCAGTTAAACCCCATACATGATTTTATAAAAGGAAAAGAAAGAATATCAGCAGAACTTTGCATTATAAAATATTGATTCTATATGGTTAGGGCAGTTTCAGTAGCTTTACAGGTTTGACGTGTTCCCTATTCATGTAATGCTGAAATATAAATGTGAACCATATTTTTCATTGCAGGCCTTCAAGAGACTGGCTGACCTTATAAAAGAATCTTTGTGAAAAAGCTAAATAGAGCTCTTGTAGTAATAAAAATCATCTCCAGAAAATAGTTATTAACATTTGGATTTCATCAGAACACGTTATAAGCAAGCACAATACAGTGGATGTTTCCTTACATCTTTTCAGGTAAAAAAAAAGACTGAAAATGAAAATAAAAAACAATTTGCCTAATTTTTTTTTGACTGGACATTGCATTACAAAATGCATTCAATTCAGAAACATTTAAAATACCCAAAACCAAAATGTTCTATTTCCTGTAAAATCCATGAGTTTGTTAGATTTAAATTGATTTTTGTTCTGACTTTTGTTTTCCATTTGAGTTGGGAAACAGAAATCATTTACTTAGAAAGTTGGACTTGAGGTGGTCTTAGCCACTATTACTTTTCACTATTAATATCAACTGATACATTCCTCCAAAATCTTATGTTGGGATTGTCTCATGGGTCACTTCCATTCTTGTCCTTCTGTATGGCATCTGGTTTTAATGATTTGAGGATTAGTATTTAATTCTACTGAAGTTTTGTCAGGTAAAGCTGATGTAACTATGTTAAAAAATTAAAACTGATCCAATAAAATGAGGCTATGATTACAAATAAACTGAGGTCCATTACAATTTGCAAGGGTATTCTCTAATTTGTAAAAGGTATTCTGATTGCTGTTTTTTTCCTTCAGTTTGTGAATAATTACTCAGTACCTGTAGTAGAAAATCTCTGGTTTGCCAAGGCATGTGGCAGTACTAAAGGAACTACTCCTTGTTATTCAGTCAGAGGTGGTTGTGAAGGGAGAGTGTAAGTGAAGAGGGGACATTGTGGAACAGTTGCAGTGTTTGAACTGTAATTACTCTGAATAAAAACGCAAAGAAACATGCATTTTCATTCTTCTAATACTGTTCCCAGGAATACCATGCTGTACCTCACTTTTCTTCTAATGAATATGGAAACTATTGCACAACCCTGCAAAGCACAGCAGTCACAAGGAGAGAATAAGGCCTTGCTTATTCTTTTCAAGAATTAATATCCCAGAAACATGTTAACAAATCTGGCTACAGCTAGAAGATTATCTATAGATGTATAGAATGTGGAGAATACCTTCAGAATTATATTTTCTTTTTACTTTGAAATTATAATATATCAGATCTGGATTGTCATGACAAGTAGATATGCTGTAATATGGTCTGGGAAAAATTAACATCCAAGTGTTTCTGTTCCTTGATGTACACAGAACTTTGACCTTTTTCTACATTTGGCTAATAATAAACTTAAAATACTTTCTTGCAGTTTCATCCAATAAATCAAGCATTAACAGAGGTAGATAAAGTTCTTCTGACAATATCAAATTATTTTATTGCCTTATATGGGATGCATAATTTAATAAACTCTCTGAGTATCTGTATCTCCACAAAAACTACTAATAAAGTAGAGGAATGGAAAGACCACTTCAGTTTTCTTGGTAGATTATATGAAATCTTATTTTCAACATAGTTCCAAGAACTTGGAAGATGTTACTTAATAAGAAAATAAGGTAGTTTCTGTATTTGTGAGGAAGACTGGCCAGAGTTACTGTCTTAGTACAAGCCTAGCCAGGTACATTGTAGACATTTTAGGCAACCCACTAACAAGAAAACAAACAGCTAAAAGCTTTTTAGTAATGCCTAAGAAAAATCACTTTATCATCCAAGCAAATAGAAAACTGCCTTGATTTTTTAGAATTAACCAACACGTTTGCATCTCTGCTTTTTTTCTTTCCTGGATTTCTTTGTTCATCTCTTTTTAAAGATGTTTCTAATCCATAGGGGCCCCAGGTGACACAATTTTCCAGTAATTAAAGACAATTATTTTCTTACAATTGCCACCATATTTTTTTTATCCTTTACAGATATGCTATTACCTTATTGTCTGCATTTGTTGTTGGTCACATCATACACAATCCCACCAATAACTAATCTCTGGCTAGTGGCAAGTCTGACCCGAATTCTTTTTCATTTAAAGCAGCCAGCATCCCTTTAGGAGAGCAGCACTAATTTTAGGGTGATGTAACGCAGAAGGGTAACTATCTGGAATATAATATTGGCTTTATCTTCAAGTAACAGCAGTTATGCCAAATGAATAAATGTGTTATTTCTTTCTGCCTCCTAATTGGCATAATGTTTCCCATTTGTATCTTTTTATCTCTTTTTATTGAGCTATTCTTGCTTATTACCCTAGCAAGTCTGTGATAAGCCATAGATGTTAGATTAGTTCCCACATAATAGATGTGAAGAGAGGGCTTTTAGAAAGCAACATGCACAGATGTTTCAAACTCTGTGGCTATCAGTCATGCCTGCATATTGTGAACAAGAATCCCAGGGACTCACAAGTTTCAAAGACAAAGGAAATCATCATCAGCTTTATAAGAAAGGCCATGCATTTTCATTACCTCTGAGAAGGATATCCTAGCTGGGTTTTAAGACTTGAAATGATGGAAGACACACCAGCATAATCTGTTGGATTCAAGAGCCCTTCATTTACATGGCATTCTCTCCAGTCATGTCACTTGTATTAATTCAGCTATTTCCCTAAAGCCAAAAGTAAGGGATAAAAAGGATGTATTTCAAAAGTTTGGAGCTGCACTCCTAATCGATGAATTTTCAAAAGATTTTCTCTAATCTCCTCAAAATCTACCCTAATCAGGGTAAATATATTTCCCTTTAAGACAAGAAGGTTTTGTAAAGTAGATAAAACAGTGAATAGGAAAGACATCAGTGGAAATAGTTTCTGTATTGGCAAGTCACTCTTTGCTGCCTGGTGTCAAAAATAAGGAAATCAAATTTTTGCCTTTTATGATTATCATAATATCATAAGCAGCATAGACATACGATGTCAGGAGCTTTTTTTTTTAAGGCCATTGGATCTGCCTTGTTTTGAATCCTGGAAATTCAGGTTTTGAGCTGCTTTGTAAAAGTGGCTTTCAAGAAACCAATTTGGAGTTCCTTATCTGTAGTACTAAAGCCAGGAAGGTGGGATGGGTAAAAAGTTCATGCAATCCCCTCACTGTTTCTAAAAGTAAAACTGGTTTTCAGAGTAGGTAATGTATTTAGGGAGGTGAAGTCCTACTGATTTTTTTTTATATTGGACTCTTGAATGAAAAAGTTAGTTTTTAAAATAGAACTAAAATTCCTAAGACCATTACATTGTTTTGATAAATCCCATATAAAAAGTTTAATGATGCAAAACTGTAAGGGCAAGAGGAAATCTTTGCCACATTCTTGAAAGTTTTCTGAATGAAATGTTGCAATGCTGTGACTACACATACACACACACACACACATTGCATCTGAGGTCTAAAAGAGTGGAAAATATATTTACAAACTGATTAATAGTGTGCACTGTCCTTTCTTTCACTGTTTAAAATAAAATATTGGTGATGTTCAGGACAACTGAAGTCAGAAGGATGACACTGGAGCTAAGTTCAATAGCAGAGGAGGAAAGGAGAGTAGGACAAAGCATGTAAAAAAAAGTCTAGTGACAATAGACAACTAGAAATCTTCCCCAGAGCCAGACACAAATTGTTGAGACTTCCTCTGTTAGAAATGGTTCTAAAACTCATTCATGGTTCTAACCACACTTTCTGATTGTCAAATGGCCTTCTTAGTCAAGGGACAAAAATATTTTGCTTCTCTAAAATTTGTATCAAATTGTACATTAAGGATGATAAAAGCCTGGCTAAAACAGCCATATGTCACTGTGTAACTACTGGCACTTTGAAGAGCCTAATAGAAAATTTGGCTTACTCTGTTCCCCAGGCTGTAACAGAATTCTAATAGCTTTGCTAACATCTTTGCCTCCAAACTAGGCATTCAATAGCTGTCACAGCTTGCTTCCAGTAGCAGCTTCACAGACCACAGAAAATACAATATGCTGTGATAAATGAGCTACACAAATGTTTTGCTCCTGCCAAAAACTGAAACTCACAACAAAGCCTTGCTCTTGCACCTTAACATTACACAGGATTTTGTGCAGGCCAAATACATAAATGGATCTGAAAAAGGGATTAAACACAATGATTTGCAACAGAACCATAAAAGACTTTTGAACACAAAGGTCTGTGGATCTGTGAGGTCCATATCAGGATTTTCTAGACCAATGATTGCCTGAATGGGAAAGGATATCAAGGGATCACTAAATAGTTCCCCATTTTTTATGCTCTTGCTTTGGCCATTGACAGAAACATTACACTGGACTAAAGAAAATTGGTCTTAACTAATACAACAATTCAGATGTTTAAGCTAGCTTGTCTCTGATTTAGCAAAGACTGCTCAGCTAAGACATATTACTGTGTAGGAAGTGAGTGACAGTGAGAATTAAAATCTAGGGCCAAGCCATAGAGCAATCTGCAATTCATGCATAGGCACTGAGTCAGTTTACTGCTAAGTTCAAGCTTTTCTTAAGGTCACATCTTTTTTCCAGCCTTGTGCTCAGCTCAAGGCAGTGGCCACATTATCCACTGCAGAGTCTGTATACAATATCTCATTTCCCCTTGTAACTTCAATTGAATACAGATGTACTGATCATCTGCATTGGAACAACATGTTGGTTATGTACCAAAGAGAAAAAAATCCTGATAGTGTCACCACATGGGCAGAGAATCGTAAAGGCGTTTTACTTGAATTTCCTCCTCCTTACTGAGTAACTCCAAATGAGTCCCTTTAGTCTCTGCATCCCCATGGTAATAATGATAGCTACCTTTGTAAAGGACTTTGATATACAATGATGTTATTGACATTTCCAGGTGCTTGTATCATCAAATTACATAGCAAAACATGACAAAGAATGCAAATTCATGTGCCATTATTTTTTTCACAGCTGCAAAGAGAATATTATCCGTTTCATCTTTTGTGATTCAAAGAGGTAAAAATTCTTTTCTGAATTTCCTAGTATTTGGTGGGGGAAGAGAGTGAAGATAGGAGTATACATCCTTCCTTTAGGAATCTAAACCAGGAACCCCTGTATCACTTCCATGCTAGAAGGGTTATGTCTCCAGTCACTCTGAGGGCAGTGGAGAAGGAGGTGCATCTGGATCAGGAGGCTGCATTGCTCTGGGTCCCCTAGCTGCACTCAAGGCCCCATCTCTGCCCAGCAAGGAGACACAGGCCTGGCAGGAGAACCTGCTGAGCCAGGCTCCCATCCTGCCCCAGCCTCCTGTGCTGCACAGTCTGAGCACAGAACTGTGACAGGCATTCAGGTGAGCCTAAATAAAGCAGCTGCACACTGCATGCTCAAATTAACCTGCCACAGTGCCTCTCACATGCTTAAGCAGACCGACTGTGAAATGGCATCTGCCTTAAAAGCCTTACTATGGCAGAGCATCAGAGTTGTCACTGAATCACAATGCCTGTCATTTGTACATCCCTTCATAAGCAATTCCTAAAAACATCTCCCACACCAGACCTACTGCAAGAGCTGGTCCTATGTTTTCATTTCAATTCTATTTGAAGCACAGGGCAGGAAATGGGGAAAACCCATCAATACAGTACCCCTTATAACAGTAATTATGAGAAGTTATTAATATTTATAAAGCTTTTTAAACAGGCTTATTTACTAGATGTGGCTCTGGGAATTCATCTACAAAAATGTCAATTTATGAAGGCAACAATGTACATATCTTCATCTGAATTATTCACATTGGTTGATACAATTAATCTTTTTCCTAGCTGAGGTTTAAAATTGGATCAGATGAATTGTATTACTAAGGTTCTTTTTTCCTTCTGTTGCCAGTGACTCACTTTAGTACAGAGGACTTTATTTTAGTTATCAAAAGCTTGGTGAATAAAAGCCCATCTTTTAAAGTTCTTTTCATGACCTTATATTGTTTCATGTCATGCTGGATCTCCTGCTAGAGATGTATGTTAGTGGCAGCCTAGTGGAAGATTTTAGAAATTCATGCATGTTTTTTTCTTCATTAATGACAGCAGATAATAGCAGGTTTGGTATTAATACAACTCACTCATTTATAACTTTATTTTCCCCTTCATGCCTTAAGCACTAATATTTCTGTTAGTGGAAGCTGAGGGCCTGAAAAATCTGCTATTTTTCCTCTTGGATAAACACTGCTCCAGAATAGTGATGAGGAAATAACTCCACAGTGTTCAGACAGCTGTGGTTCCCAGCACTCTGGGAAATATCCTTCTCATGGTGCAACTGTATTCTAGTCACATTGCTAACTTCATACACTCAACCCATCATCTTTGCTGCTAAGGGTACTTTTCTACAGCAGGCCTAAAGAGTTCACTTTTCTACTTAGCTGAGATTTATTAAAAATAAAATTGGGCTTTTAGTTTATCCCAACATTTTGATTATCAGCACAGTTCTATGAATGCAGATCTCAGAGAATATCTTGGCCCTTTCATACAGAAGAGTACCAATGTGCTCTCCCACATATTCCAGCTTCACTTTCTTGCATAAGATTAAACAGCAGCAGGGTTACAGTGCTGTCAAAGGCAGAAAATGTGGAAGCAATATTTTGCTAGCAAAGGAAAATTTTAAAGGAGAAAAGCTTTTTATGTTAAGTCTTATCAACACTAAGAATATGGTCCACATAGCTGTGTTAGAAGAGCATGAATATGTAGAATCTTGGTGTGTTCAGATGAAAAGAAAAAATGGGCTAGAAAGCAATGAGTGGTCTCGAACTGAAGTGTCATTCACCACTCCATTGAAGAAGGGGAAAGATTAAATATTTTAGCAAGTCTCCAGGTGATAATATTTAGGTAGAGCTTAGCCTGTAGAACTGCTGGCCTGCCTCTCAAAATGTAGACAAGATTACTAACTGAGAAAGCAACATTCAAATTATTCAGCAGTCATACTGATGTTTCTTGTTTGGGTACCATTATTCCAACCCTTTCATACATTAAGAGTCTTCCTGAAGCATGTAGTTAGGTGATGCATTTGTATTATACATAAAATTTTAATTTTCCATTGCCAAAACCAGCATAGGCACATAAAAGTTCAAGTAACAATAAACATGTCATAGTGCTACTGAATATGAACTGCCCTGGGTGAACAGATGCATCATCATGTTTTTCAGGAGAAAGTGTTTGGATTTACATTGTATTTACGGGCCTTAGTTCTCCACTCAGTCTTATCAGCAAAATAAGATTTTATTTTCTCCACCAGATAGTATCAAACCAGGTCTGGATTTCTTTGGTTTGAGGTGGTAATAAGTCAATTGCTGAAACAGCTATGACTTCAGGAAGGTGGTTTTACACACGTATTTATTGCATTTATCGCATTTATCATTCACTGAAGTTATGCTCTGACCTACCTTATCCCAGGAGCTTTTCAAGTGAATTTACAAGCAGCTGCCACCTTTTTTTTAATTCTTGTCTTTGTCTGCTTTCTGATGCTGAGCTCTGGTAAGTATCATCTGTTAATATCTAACAGTATGGGGTGTTAACCAGCATGCATTTCAGGACCCAGGTTCAATATTTACAAAATCAGTGGTCCTTTATCAGCACATATCTCTGTTTCCAGCCCAAGGATTACACCACTTTGCTGTCTAGTTTATACAGACAGGTGAAGCAGCCAGGAAAAGTGATTGAGAGAAGAGCAAAGGTAATCATGGAAAGAGAAAACCTAATTAAATGCTTTATGGGAAAGGTTCCAAAACATGGAGCTAGCATCCACTGCAGTATACCTAAAGCAGAAGCAGATAGGATGTTTTTTGCCAATTGATTTGTGAGTGATGGATCAGGTTTATTGAAAACAAAGAAGCAGTCATCCTGTTAACAAGAGAGGAATTATCCTATTGAGAAAGAAAAAGAACAGAACAGTGAGAGCACAGAGCATCCAGGCAATGGGAAGCTTTAGGAGTCCCATCAGTGAGAAATAGCCAATGTCATGAAGCCTGAAGTGAGGCCATATGGGATCTATTTCATTAGACTGTTGAAGTGAAAAGATATTCACTCTCTGGGTTGTGAAACTAATAAATACAAATTTAAGTTCCAGTTTTAATTCTCCAGAATATTTTTCAGAAAATTTAGCAAATGCCTTCATAAACTTAAGGACTGGGCTCATAATAAAATAATGTAACTTATTCCAGTTAGAAAGAAACACACAAAATGTCCAGTAAAAGAAACCAGATTTCTGCACCCTATAAGTGTTGCAGAAATTAAAATTATCCTTTTTTGAAGTGCTTATGGAGAGCTTTTGCCTTGCAGTTCTTGATAAAGGAAGATGGAGAGACCAATTCAGCACATGGTGGGTCTATAAGGCATAATCTAGTTTAAATTGTACCACATCATAAGACTAAAATTTAAAATGTCATGAAAATTCATCTTTTTCCTCCTGTAGAAAATTCTAGACACAAACCACAGTGAAGACAACATCTGAACACTGAGAGACAGTAGCTGACACTGCTGAATGCACAACTTTCTCCAGCAAGGTCATGGACACGCTGGAAAATTTTGCTTCTATAAATTTTATTGACTTTCAGTTTCTGATAACACTAAGTGAAAGCACACTGAACTCTGGCATTGTGCCACAAGAGACTATTTAATTCTGACAGCCAAACCCCACAGTTTGCTGAGTCACAGAAAACTCACAGTAATAAGTCTGTGTAAATGAAAGGCACCTTTTGTCAAAGACAACTTTGTAATGTAACTTTGACCAGACTTCAGTTTATTTTCTGTCCTTCCTACAGGGGAATATAATCAGAATATAACTTTCAGAGAAAAATGCAGGTTCTGTATGTGAAATTGTTTGAAAACCTTCCAGTTTCCCCTGGCTCATAACCATTCCTTAGTTTCCCTAGTGTCTCTATGGGGAAAGGAATAAAACAGCTCCAGGAGTAATACAATTTAATTCCACTTGTTCTTGTTGCATGGTCACAGGTCACACACTGTCAGTATGCTTTGGTGGAATGAAGAAAATGTAGAATATAGTGACTTTATAAATACATTTTCCTTTTTGCTTGCACGACTTTGATTTCCTTATGACAGAGGGTGACCCAAATTGTATTCCTCAGTAGGAATAGGTAAGTATTTGCTTCTGGTTTTCAGTATTCCTGTCACATGCAATTTTTCTTTCAAAATGAGAAATGTATTTTCATCTGCCCCAGTTAAAACATGCAAACAGTAAAATACATTGAAAGAATCCTTTGCTTTAAATATATTTTGGTACTTAGAGGTGAATGACCCAGGCTGTCATTCACCACTAGTCAAATCTGAGCTTACAAAACCCACTTATACTAAATCAAGAATGAACTGTATTCAATTATATATATCATAGAACCATTTAATATTTTGGGTTGGAAGAGATCTTCAAAATCATCTAGTTCCAACCCCCCCTGCCTTGGCAGGGACACCTTCCACTAGACCAAGTTGTTCAGAGCCCCATCCAACCTGGCTAATTTTATTTCTAAATCTACTCTCTTTCAGTTTGAAGCCTTTCCCGTATGTCCTGTCACTCCATACCCTTGTACAATGTCCCTCTCCAGCTCTCGCAGGCCCCCTTCAGGTACTGGAAGGCTGCTTAAAGGTCCTCTTGGAGGCTTCTCTCCTCCAGGCTGAACAACATCAACACTGAGCCTTTCTTCACAGAAGAGATGCTCCAGCCCTCTGATCAGCTCCTCCCCTTAAAACTCAGTTTGTCTGGAGCTCTGCTCCCACAAAAATTAGCTCAGCATAGTGAAGTTCTTCAATGCTTCAACTGACCATCCACAAAGATACAAAGTCAAACATGCTGTCTCCTAACACTATCCCAGAAAAGCTATCCAGACTATTTTTGTGCCATCTGGGCAATTTTTAAAAGACTATTAAAAGCCTAAGGTGCTCTCTTTTCTCTCCATGAACATTATTGGTAAAGAAGTTGTGTTTAATTTTTTTTCCAAAATCATCTCTGCTGGACAAGCACAACTTAAAACATACTACCAACTTCCAGAATATGCTTAAGATTTCCGTGCTATACAAATGAGCAAAGAGCCTCAAGTCTTCAATAGTCTTGCTGAAAAATTATATAAAAGCTGGAATCTTATGTGCTGTATAAAGCAAGAGTCTAGGTTTAAAGCAAATTTGGGGAAGAATCCCCCAAAGGAGCTCCGGTGGGAAAAGCAGATCCAATCGGCCTCTCCCCAACGACTGGTCTGGGAGGAAAAAAAAATACCTCCTTGGAGAAAGGTGGAAAAAAAACTGTTGATTAAACAATAAAACCAAAACAATATCAAACAATGAGACCCCTTGCCACTCTAAAAGAGATGAAAAACTGAGAAAACCCCAGGTTCAAGCAGCAGCTCACTCAGTCTCTGATCAGTCCCTCAGTGCTGGAATTGTCGCAGGCCAGGCCCGGCCCAGTGGGCCACAGGTGCAGCTGCTCCCCTGTGTGTTCAGTCCAGAGCAGGTTTCAAGAGGTCCAAAGAAAAGGGAAAAAAACAGTCCAGGGAACTTCTTTGCCTCAGCTAGCTAACACTAACTAAAAAGCAAAAGAAGAGCTCTGCCCCACTGTCTGTCTGCAGACAACGCAGTCAGGAGCAGGAATGTGGAGGAGTGAGTGCAGTGTCTGAAAACAAACTGCGCGCTTCTTCTCTCCCCCCCTTCACTCTCTGGAACACTCTTAAAGGTACAAAACTTATTATTCAACATAAACATAATGAGACGATTAGGGATAAAAGCATCATGTAGTCAACCCAGGACAGCAAGCCTCTAATTACACAGTTGAGACCAGTGGAGAAGCAGTATTTCACTGCACAGCTCTGAGAACATCTGCCTTCTGTCCCTGGCACGGTGCTCCTGAGCAGTGTGCTCTTTGTGGGGCTTCAAAGAACAGTGGCTGATTCCCACAGTGCTTCTCCTTTACAAATCCTTGGGGAGCTAAGCATGGCTCTTTCTCAATTTGCTTATGAGCGACCGCAGAATGGCCTCTTACTGGTTGCACTTTGAAAAAGCAAATCTTAGATTTGTGATTTCTTTGGGGCTTGTCCTTGCCAAGCTGGCTTTATATTATTTAGCAAAGGCAAACATTAAACTGATGTCCCCTCTCAGTCTTACACTCCATGTGCATGAAAACTCCTTCTTAACTTCTTCCTTAACTTTTACTTGTAATGATTAATGACAAAGCAAATTAGGGCAGAGCTACTTCACATTATGTGCAGAGTGCACATGATAAAATAGGACACAATCATTTAACCCACAAAGATCCACTCATCACAAGTGCAGTGACTTATCAACTTCCCAAAACTGTGATGAAATCTAGCCAACAGATTCTAACAAGGCAAAATCACAGCCTAATATAAACTGCTGCAGATTATACATATTGGTTTTGACGCTTTTTCTTTATGTCTAAGCACACCATCAGAGCAAAAGTAGGGAAAAGTATCTATCTTCAGGTAAGAAAATGAACAATCCCGTGCCACAGCCCACAAGCCCAGATGGATGCAACATGTTAATGACCCAGAAAAAGCATTTAATTCTAACATCCTCTTCAAAAAATTGTATATTTATGTGAAAGTGTAAATATTTTTTTTCTGTAGTTTGGAACATTGAGACACAAACATAATGAGCTGTCCAAAGCTCCTGCAGAAGCTTTCAACAAAGATAAAAACCTAGACCTTCTGACTTCTTTCACTGATTCAGCCATGAGACCCAAGTCTACCATGACTTACACTTAGTACATGTTATGTACAACAGAATTTTACATTGCCATTTATTTGACTTATTTTATTTAGATAACACTGTGAGAAACAGCTACTGCCCAGAGGTGTGCAGCTCCGTCACCAGATGCAACCAGGCTGTAAAGTTTCTCCAGTGACCAGGTAATAGTTAGCTACACTTTTTTTACTTCCCTTTAAAGCCAGGCAGTCAATTAACTCATCAGCTACCAGTAGTCAGCCACCAACTTTGTTCTTTTTTTAAAGCTTTCATGAAAAAAAAAAAAATCAAAGGACTTGTGAAAAACGTAGTCAGAAGAAGCCCCATCTAGGATAGCACTTAAAATTGATTTCCAATGAAATCATGGCTGGGCATGACAAGGAGGGTAGTAAGGGATTATGTCTCTGTGACTGACTCATGTGTTTTGCTGTTCTTTGAAATCAAGAGCATTGATTTTTTTTTTTTTTAATAGTTTTACTTGGGTTTGCTTCCAGCATCCTGTGATTCCCCAGGGCCCAGAAAGATACAATGCTTGACACACAGGGAAGCTGCTGAAAGGTCAGTGTGCTCAGTACACAGTGGAGCATCTGTGCTGCTGCTATATTTGCCAAGATTCAAGAAAATTCAAGGAAGAAAATTATATTTGAAGAGCATTTTACCTGAAGTTTTTCATCCTCCTGAAAAATACCCCTAATTTCTAACCTTTATTTATATATTTGTGCACAGACAGTCCACACAAGTTAAAACAAGCTGGCATCTGAGTTTTTCCACACTTAGTTTAGCAAACTCACTCTCAAGTACAAGCCTAGCTTTTCCCTCTAAATTAGTGAGGCCATTGAGATCCACATGTACAAACATCACAGGAACACAAACTGGCACTGACACCCAGCCCAGTCTGGCCAGCTCTGTGCCACCAGCTTGTCAGCAGCATTTACTGGCACTGGCAAAGCCCAGCTTGTACCCCAACACTGACTGACCTTTCCCCAGCCTTGCAGTTAAGCCTGAGAGCCAAAGGTGGCTCAGAAAGCAAATGTGGAATAATTTCTAAAGTCAATCTGAAACAAGTCATAGCCTTAGCATTGACTGAACATACACCCCAATCTAACCTTCCCCCTCTCATGATGAGATACCCTTGTCTGCCACTGACCTGACAGAAGAGCATCTCTGTCTCCCTTGCAGACACTCTCCTTTGCCATGGAGCTCTGTGAATTCAAGCCCCAGTTCAAGCTCCAGCCTTTGCTCCCCACTTCATTTGCCCAGAGAGGCTTTTGCCCCATTTTTCTTCCAGGCCAGATAGAAATTAGAAGTAGGTTTGTGGTGAAGTTTGGATTACTTTGAAAGTTTGCATAAATCATGATTTTACTCGGTGTAGCTTCTCACCTTCATCCCAGCCAAAGCTGTTCATAACCTAAAAACTGCTTTAGGATCAGCTTTTAGCCTGAACTCTGAAAAGCTTCCCCAGTAACCTGCAATAAAATCAAGCTTTTCCTTTTATGTTTAGAGGTCAAACCCTACTTGATCCACCATGTTACCCAGTGATGCAATGTCCCATTTCAGAGCTTATTTCCCAATGACACTGGCTCACGCCAACTCTCAACTTAGTTTAACAGGCCCTGTTAATTGTTATATGACTTTATAAATTTACACAAACAACCTCTCATTCCTTGCATAACTATTTACTTCCAGAAGGCTGCATAGCCTTTATTTGGAAGCAAATATACAGCCATGAGCCCCAGTCTTTCATATCTGCCTACCTCGCTGAAAACAGTCTTTTATTAAGGAAGCAGTGCCAAGAGAACTTCGAACACCTTAAGATACTGAGAGCTTGACAAGAATCAGAGATTTTATTGTAATTTCTATGAAAATTAACCTATTTTTCTTGCAGTAGGGATACAGTGATATTTTAGACATGAGACAATGTCTGCTGTGCACATGTACTGTCTCGTATTACTCTGGATGCCACATTTCCACTTACATTAGAGCCTCAGAAGGCATTATTGACTAACTTAAAAGTAATGAGCAGAGAGGTTTTATGTGACAAGACCATTATGATCTGATGACAAATGGACCTATTTTGTTTTATTTTCTCCCTACATTTAACAAGATTAAATTATATCTAAGAGCAATTGGTAACAACTAAAAATGTAATCTGTTAGCTGCAGCAGTAAGCCACATAATCAAATGAGGGAATGAGGTGAGGCAGCCTCTGCCTGTCTTTGGAAATGAGAGTTTGCATATGAACACTTAGACGCACATGGAGCCAAACTGAAAAGGTTTCAATTAGCATTATCATCTCTGGATTTAAACTTATAGGTCACACTCACAGTAACACCTCACCAGGTACCAGAAACCAGCCTGACAGAGAAGCCCCTCTTCACCTGGAGCACAAGGTCACTCCACAGGAATAGAAGGACACTACAGAAGGACTACACACTGATGAACTCCAGGACAATTTTTAAACCTTTCTGAACATGGCAGTTTGGGAGATTACAGCAGGGAGCCCATCCTGAAAGGGACACTCTGCTATGCATCTTCAGTAAACTCCTCACATGAAAATGTGGGCTGGTCAGAGGCAAAGAGTAGAGAGCCTCAGTCACCCAGGTGGTCACAGATTCTAAGTGATACCTGCAGTTTTCCCAGAAGCTCTCAGAGAAGTCTGCAGGCAGGAGCCAGGCATGTAAAATCAGTCTGCAGTGCTCACAAGGCTGGCAACTCATCTGCAGCAGGGACGTCACGGGGATCTGAAGGCAAATCACCCTGGGCTCTGCCAAGGGCTCTCCTGCTGTCTCTTAGCTTTGTGAGGAAATAAAACACTTCAAACAGCAGGAGCCTCACAGAGAGAGCAGCAACTGAAGGGACCAAACCTCAGGGTCACTCAGGTGATGGGAAGTGACTGTGCTCTGCTACCTTCACCTCTCTGCAGGTAAGTCCTGGCTTTCAGATAAAGCATAAAGCATGAGCTAATTAGACCTTTCCTTTCTTTCCAAATCCAGATTATGGCTTTTGGCAGAGAAAACCATCAGTAACTCAGAACCCTAGCAAGCTCATGCAGTGAAGAAGTTTTGTGCCTGTCCTGTTGCCTCTGGGCCAACATCTGCTTCATTCAGAGTTGTTCTGTGTGATAAGCAGTATCTCAAGTGCACAGCTAGGGCAACAGCCTGCTGCCTTGCAGACTATGAGCATGCATATAAGTAGTAAAGACTAAACTGTGTTTATTTTCTTCAGGAAAATATTTTTTCACCTGATAAACTGTAGAGGTGGTGACTAATTGTGGAGTAAAAAGATTATGCAAGGTATTTATTGCTAAAAATGCTGTACTTTTCAAGAACTGCAATAAATATTAAAGCAATTAAGAAAGATTTCTATCTGCATCAAACAACTCCGCAGTTCAGATTTATGTTCACAGCATAATTTTATTCAGAGGTGATTATACAAGACATGCATATTCCCAGGAAGGTTTCTTGCCATGCTGTCTGTTTTATTTAAACAATAATTACCAGTCAAAATTGACTTGGGAAGCTGGGCTTTCCACTAAACACTTTAGCTTCTCTGACAATAAGCAGAAAGTGGACAAGAATGAGGGAATAGTAAGTATTCAAACAGCTGCATAGGCTGATAATGAAAAAATTGATCTGTCAATGAGCCTACAGTCCACCATTTCTGTAAAAGCAGACAATAGCAAATGAAGTTAGCAGGCCCCTGCTGAAAATTGCCAGCTGCAAATAGGCTGTCTGGATGTCTGGAAGGATGGGGGATTCAAGAGGCTTCCACAGTGAAATACAAAGCAAAGTGGTACCATGATTTGCTGCAAATATAAAGACTTAGCAGCAGGCACAGATTGTGTCATGCAATGATGGAAAGAGCCAATGTACCAAGCTGGTGGACTCTGAGTATTTGTCCAGAGGGTCTACACACACTGCCCTGCACACACATACTGCAGAGAAAAGGGCCCAATCAGCATGACTAACACCACTTCAAATGAAAGAGCATTGCTGCATTTCCTGCCAGTATACATCTGGTGGTAGTAGAGGACAAATATGCTTTTTCAATTATTGTTAGATATTTACTTTAAAAGAAACATTGATTGAGTTATACTGAACTGTGTACATCACTGATTTGTAATATCATGGACTGATAAAAGGAAACCTAGCCCAGAGTCCAGAAAAAGAGAATTGCTTGGTCATCTCATAAAACATTAGGGTAAAAAAATTGTGTACTAATATACCCATGGTATTGCAGATGAGATCTTGCCCATCTTGAAGCTACTTTCAGTATGACAGTGTTGGAGACCTGCAGGATCAATAAAATATTGATTTAATATCTTTTCTTTTGCCAGGTTTGGCAGAGAAAAACTGTCCTTCCATTGGAATGGTTTCAAGGATTACAAATAAGGAAACACTCAAAACACCCCAGCTGATCATGAAAGAAGCCACAGAGACAGGGGTGAGTAAAAACTGTCCACTCGGGGAAAAAAAATATTTTTCATGTAGTTTAACCTATATTGTGAATTTCTAATGTTCTGAATATGCTATGAGTCAAGGGATGTTTTCTTTCAGAAGACAATGAAATTTCAAGGCCTGTGAAGGAGAAATCACATGGTTACTATGATGGCTTGGATCTGATCCATTATTTGCATGGAATTTCCCTTGGGAATATAATATAATAAAATTCCAATAAATGTGATGGACATGGAAGATATCCACAAAGAGAAATGCCTGTCTCCCCAGAACGTATAAAATGCCAGGATGGGTGAATCTTTGTATCAATCTCTTTCATCTTCAAGATTAGCAAGACTAGGGTGTGAACTTTTAGCAGTTTTAGAGTTTCTACAATAAAACATGTGAAACTCTAGAAGAAACATGAATATATATTAACAGGACACCATGAACCAGCAAAATCTGAGTAACAACACACATATCCAAAAATGCTGTCCCCAGCACAGTACTTCCACCAGCTTCTTTCAGTCCCAGTAAAACCTGGCCTGTACCTAAGTATGAGAATTGTATTTACTCAAACCATATATAATTTCAAGTAGTGTAATCTTGTTGGGTTTTGTATTCTGTTGTTGACATCTTACTTCAAAAGTTCCATACCTTCTTGGTGATTTTATCACGTGCAGCTCCACACAACACTGACTCCCTCTTCAGCACAGCCAACAAACTCCCTCTCCCTCCTCACCCAGCTACCCCACTCTTTTGTAGCACTCGTCTCCTTATTGCACACAGCTGCAGCCTGTTAAGGGCAGGGCTGTTCCTAATCTTTGGTGATTGGTACAGCTGCACCTCCTCAGGTGTGAGATTACCTTCTGCACTATCTTTAATTTCTTACATTTTTTCCCTCCACAATCCCCCAAACTGATTTACTCATTACCTTTTCTTCATGAATAAATGTGCACAGTATGCAATTTACAACCATTATGGCAAAAAAAACAACCCAAAGGAAACTAAGAAAATCTCTTTAGAGTGGAGGAAAAGTGCAAATGTTCTAAAGGCTTGGAATTATTCTGATGATAGTCTTAGTTTTCTTTCCAGCTTTTATTTTTGTTATTATCATTATTATCAGACAATAAACACCCACAGGGGAAGCAACTTAACTTATTTTTCCAGAACAAAACACATTTCCATTCCTACAGTCACTGTGGACCACTTTTCAATTAACAGAAAGGACTTTAGAGAAATTTTCTAGGTCTGCAGTATATCCTCCTTCACTAGAGTATTGGCAAGAGATATCCATGCAATAACCAAAGCTATCCTACCTTTTTTTCCATTACTGACCAGGAATCATTTTCAAGACTGTTCAGGCAGCTGTTCCAGAACACACAGCCTCCTTTCCATCGTCAAAGAAATACTCTGAAAATACTTACCAGCCTTCAGCCTGTTGTCAGAAAGTCCATGGAATGTTAGGGTGTGAGAACCACAGTGGTCAGTAGTAGCCAAGTCAAGGCACTGAGATGTTAGCAGTTCCAGCTGTGGTAGCAATGGACCATGGACATTCCCAGGGTCAGTCAGCTCAGGCAGACAAGGGATTTGTCAGCGCTGACCAACACCAGCTTGAGTACCAAAAAGCAAGATAACAGCACATGGTTAGATTTCTCTCTACTTAATGGGCCTGTACAAAAAGCCACACATCTTTAACCCCTGACTAACATACCATTATTTTCATTATCTGTAAGCAGTCAAATTCATTTTTATCCTACTGGTAAATGCATAATTGTTAATGCCTGGAGACTTTGACCTATACAGATTATAAAGTCCTCTGAGCTGCTTTAGTGCAAGGCATACAGTGCAGGTGAGAAGAGTGGGACAGAATGAGCACTGGGTGTCTGAAGTGCCAAGCTCCTTTGCTCAGAACACACAGAGTAAAATCATGCATCTGCCCAAGAGAAGGGGGCAAACACAATACAACTAGTCAGTGAAGTTATCCTGATATACTTCAGCATTTCCATACACTTTTCCCCAGATCTGAACAATCTATCTCTCACTCCAACATGATTTGTATATCTCACCAGACATCTTTCAGAGACACTGTTGTTGTGTTTCCTGATTACAGATATGGGAGGCTGTCCCAGGCAAGAAGATGTGCTGCCCATTTTTCCCCAATTTCCATTTGGCTCATTATTATTCAGTGTCAGAGTTATTTCTGACACTGACAAGTTGCTGCATTAAAGTAATAATTCTGAACTTAAGACATCATCCTATGTGCCATCCTAAACCAGTGAGCCACGTAGTTGTGACTTGAGAGAATGAAGGCTCAAAGTCAAGGCACAGCATGGAGGGCAGCAAGATGGAATGTTTGCCTGGAGCTTTTAAAATGCATAATGACTCTACTGCCTGAAGTCCTTACCAGCACAGTATTGCAGCTTGAATTCCTTACCAGCACGATATTCCAGTAGTCAGTCCAGTAGTGTGTTTGTTGCTGGTATTTGGATTAAGTTAACTCTAGCTACTCTTTTAGGACACTTGTTTTATCTGGGGTTTTTTCCCTTACTTTTGACAGCAGGATTTTAGGACATTATGAGAAACTGTGGGAGAAATTGCATGAAGTGATCAAAACAAAATTCTCTTGAAAACTGGCACTTTTTGGAACCTGCATTTATTGATGCATGGAAATTATGTGTCTAATTTTACACCGAAAAAAGTAACAATCTTACCTTCAGTAACTATCAAGAATTGCACAACAACTCCTAATAATAATACTTTGCACAGTACATACAAACAACAGAACAACCAGCAAAGGTCTCCTGAAATATCCCTGTAACCTGTACGAATATACAAACCCTCCTGTTGCAGGTGTGTAAGCTGTATCTCAGAGCAAAGACTTTAGGCAATTTGGTGAGCGATACACCACACCATCCTGAGAACCCATGAGCTGAGAGCATCCAGCCCCCTGGACATTGAACTTAAGACTATTATTGGTTTTTTGTGTGACCAAAGTGCACAATGATTTTTTTCCCTTTTTAATAAGTTTATTTATGCTCATCCACAAAAGGCCCAAGAAGACACATTGGCTGCTCAGCAGTGTCACTTCCTTGTCAGCCATAAGGTTTGTCACACCAAAGAACATGGCTGCATAAACTCAGTGGCTTCATATCCTTTATATATAACTATGAGATCCTGAAACTTTGAAAGTAGACTCAAAATGATGAATTCTATATTCTCCATGTAAAATCTGAAAGCAGCCTGAAGCCATCCAGCAGCACCTCTATATAACTCCACACAGGACCTAAGCAAGTCTGATACATTAGCCTTACATTCCATAAAGAACTATTGTCAAAGTTAAATCTCTTCTGTGCTTTTTGAAGCACAGAAGGTGCTTCAAAAGAAAATGTCTTCATAAACTATTTAGAAATCAAACAAATAATAGGAAACCCATTCAGATAAAGTGAGCTTGCTTTATGAGAACGAATAGCATTAGAGTGATAACCATTTCATTTCTATATTTTAAAAGTCTCAGTGGACTTTAAAATCAATAGATTTTTACAGCTAATTCATTTTACCACCAATTTATATTTTCCAAATAAAATAAGAACACTGTTGGTTTCTAATACATCTTCATTTCCTCTCTATATTTTTTAATAATAGGTAATCTATCAGATAATTGTCTCACTTTTTTTTCTTAAATACTGTTTTGTTTTATAAGACGTTGTACACATGTTAAGTTACTCTACAGACTATGATATTTTCAGCAGTTTCATAAATTAGTCTTCTAAAGTGATTAAGCTGTTCTCTGGGCTCCAGAAATAAATTCCTCAAACAAAATGATGTGTTTTTCATCAGATGATAAACACCCACAGTGGAAACACTTTATTTCTCCAGAGCTGCAAATATTTTGAACAACTACTTGTCATCAGTAGATAAACTATATATACCATGCAAAGAAAAACCAATTACCCACATATCAAGGGCAGTGAAGAGAAAGCCACATGCCTCTGTTGCTGTTTCAATTGTCCTGAATTACCCATGTCCTTGAAATGCACAGTTACATCTCCCACTGTCGGGTTTTCTGGGTTGTTTGAAGGGCCTAGAAAGGCCCGAAGTGGCTTTGGGGCAGCTCGCGTATCGAAGGACGAGAAGAGGTTTCAGTTCTTCTTTCGGTTTTTATGTTTATTAATTGTTTATCTAAAAGATGTTCTTTCAGCCCGACAGAGGTCTGCTCAGCAGTCAGCTATGAGCACACTGTGCTGCCCTCCAGGCAG